TTGCATACAGAATGAAATCCAAGTAACTGTGCATACAGAATGAAATCCAAGTGACTTTGATGGAGAATGAAATCGAAGCTACTGTGCATAGAGAATGAAATCCAATTAACTGTCTATGGATAATGAAATCCAAGTAACTTTGCATAGAGAATTAAATCCTAGTAACTTTGCATAGAGAATAAATCCTAGTAACTTTGCATAGAGAATGAAATCCTAGTAACTTTGCATAGAGAATGAAATCCAAGTAACTGTGCATACAGAATGAAATCCAAGTGACTTTGCATAGAGAATTAAATCCTAGTAACTTTGCATAGAGAATGAAATCCAAGTAACTTTGCATAGAGAATGAAATCCAAGTAACTTTGCATAGAGAATGAAATCCAAGTAACTGTGCATACAGAATGAAATCCAAGTGACTTTGATGGAGAATGAAATCCAAGTAACTGTGCATACAGAATGAAATCCAAGTGACTTTGATGAAGAATGAAATCCAAGTAACTGTGCATACAGAATGAAGTCCAAGTGACTTTGCATAGAAAATGAAATCCAAGTAACTTTGCATAGAGAATGAAATCCTAGTAACTTTGAATAGAGAATTGAATCCTAATAACTTTGCATAGAGAATTAAATCCAAGTAACGGTGCATGGAGAATGATATTCAAGAAACTTTGCTTAGAGAATGAAATCCAAGTAACTTTGCATACCGAACTAAATCCAAGTACCTGTGTATGGAGAATTAAATCCAAGTAGCTTTGCATAGAGAATTAAATCCAAGTTACTTTGCATAGAGAAATAAATCCAAGTGACTTTGCATAGAGAATGAAATCCAAGTAACTTTGCATAGAGAATAAAATCCTAGTAACTTTGCATAGAGAATGAAATCCAAGTAACTTTGCATAGAGAATGAAATCCAAGTAACTTTGCATAGAGAATGAAATGCAAGTAACATTGCATAGAGAATTAAATCGAAGTGACTTTGCATAGAGATTGAAATCCAAGTAATTTTGCATAGAAAATGAAATCCAAGTAACCTTGGCTAGAGAATGAAATCCTAGTAACTTTGCATACAGAATGAAATCCAAGTAACTTTGCATAGAGAATGAAATCCAAGCAACTTTGCATACAGAATGAAATCCAAGTAACTTTGATGGAGAATGAAATCCAACTTTGCATAGAGAATGAAATCCAAGTGACTTTGATGGAGAATGAAATCCAAGTAACTGTGCATACAGAATGAAGTCCAAGTGACTTTGATGGAGAATGAAATGCAAGTAACATTGCTTAGAGAATTTAATCGAAGTGACTTTGCATAGAGATTGAAATCCAAGTAACTTTGCATAGAAAATGAAATCCAAGTAACTGTGGCTAGAGAATGAAATCCTAGTAACTTTGCATACAGAATGAAATCCAAGTAACTGTGCATTGACTTTGCCATAACTTTGCATAGAAAATGAAATCCAAGTAACCTTGGCTAGAGAATGAAATCAAAGTAACTTTGCATAGAGAATGAATCCAAGTAACTTTGCATAGAGAATGAAATCCAAGTAACTTTGCATAAGAGAATGAAATCCAAGTAACTTTGCATAGAGAATTTGCTGATCCAAGTAACTTTGCATAAATGAAATCCAGTAACTTTGCATATGAAATCCTAGTAACTTTGCATAGAGAATGAAATCCAAGTAACTTTGCATAGAGAATTAAATCCTAGTAAATTTGCATAGAGAATGAAATCTAAGTAACTTTGCATAGAGATCTGAATCCAAGTACCTGTGCATAGAGAATGATATCCAAGTAACTTTGCATAGAGAATGAAATCCAAGTGTCTTTGCATAGAGAATGAAATAAAAGTAACTGTGCATACAGAATGAAATCCAAGTGACTTTGATGGAGAATTAAATGCAAGTAACATTGCATAGAGAATTAAATCGAAGTGACTTTGCATAGAGATTGAAATCCAAGTAACTTTGCATAGAAAATGAAATCCAAGTAACCTTGTTAGAGAAAAATCCTAGTAACAACGCCCTTGTTATTTTCTACCATGTGATATGACGCTCCAACTCACTTTGATAACATCTCTATAACTTTGACCTTGTCACGGGTGAAGTTTGTCTTACCATGCTACCCGGTGTCGGCACGCTCTTACATTCAAATAAGGGTGTTGTATAACTTTTTGCCTATTTTTTTTTTCTTTCGTTGCATAATATTTAAGTACAGGACGCACGTTTTTCCTAAAGTCTTCTCGTCGTCTTGTGGCATTCCATATTCATGTATGTACGATTATAAAGGGTACAGCCAAAAAAGTTGTATTCTGCTTTAGTTTTATGGAATTTGAGTTAAGTTTATGATTATGATGCCATGTTTGAATGTACTTCCTCAAAAAGTGTTTGGTTAAATTTTCCCTTCATCAATTCAAGTGGCCTTAGATCTAATTATGTTTCCGTCTAATTTTAATTTTCTTATCTGTTCTAATTCTTGCTGTTTAGATTCTTAAAGACCTTATGAATCAACTCCTTCTTATAGATTGACTGTTCTGTTCTGTTCCATAACTTGACTTTGTTTTTATGACGTGTACAAGATGCCATTTACTCTAATTTCCGTAAGTAAAGTCTCTCGGAACATTTATTATAAATTGTATGTCTGTAATATCATTGCTACGGTCTTGTCTGTTTAAGGTATATCATACTGTACCAGAAATAAAGTATTTTAAAGTTTAAAATAGAGAATTGTTTAATTTCTATAGATCTTTTCCTGTTTTGAGTTAATTAGATTTAAGACTAATTATTGCCGTGGAATTGTCCGATCGATAGTGAGGTTCAATATTGGCCCTAATGATAACTGATGGTAAATTTTCCGACACATGAAAAAAAAAATTTTAACTTGTTTTCTAGTACTGGCTTTTCTCCTTGAGCATCTACTGGTATCTGGGTGTTGCTCCGTATATATTTATATATCAAATCTAGCTCATGTCATATTTCTCTAACTCTGTCTATTGATTTGCTATTATTATATGTAGATTATAATCATAGTCTAATTTTGCATCTACAACTAGATTAAAGTCAACGTAACTTACTGTAAGTAACTAGGACAAAAAATGGACAAAGAAAGATTTACACGGAGATTCTTGAAAAAGTACAAGGAGAATAAGACCAAGTGTTCCGGAAAAGTAAGCGTCTTCTGCTTCACCGACGAAACCCACCAATTCCTGCACTTAGCAATAAGCTTTATTAATAAGTCCCAGCAATATCTTTAGCTAAAAAAAAAAGTTAAACTGAAACCCATGGACAAACCAAATCTGTAATGTATTATTCAAAATTTAAAAGTGAGAAAAAATGCATCTTCTGTATTTTATAGACAACGTGTTCGATAGATAACCCATTTACATGCTTTGACATATGTCACTATAACAACATAAGTAATTACTTAGATTAGAGTTTTGGGGTAAAAAATTTAAAAAAAAATAATTTTTTCCAAACATATAATGTAATTATTTTCAATATAATACTCGTTCTTGATAAATAATTGTAACCAGTACAACTGTCTAATTTTCATTTCAAGAACTTATGGTTATATCTCTTTTCAGCTTATTTGATTTTATATTGTTAATTGAAAAGCGCACGATTTTGATCAACTTTTTAGAGTCTTGTGGACGTACACATGTCTTACTGGTATTTTTCTACTTTTTCAAAAAATTGTATCTTTCATGTAATCTGAGGCTCCATGTAACCTACTAACTTCTCTATCACTCCGACTTCGTGACGGGTGAAGGTTGTCTGAATATTTACATTCAAATTAGGGTGTAGCATAACATGTTTTCCCAGATTTATTTCGTCGAAAGTTTTCAGTATTATTCATTTGTATCGTTTGTATTTTGTTTTGTTTACACAGTAACATGAGCTTAAATCAACTTTAACCTCGACAGGTGTGCATAACATGTAACATGTACTGACTGATAACGTACGTTTTTAGGTCATCTCGTCACCTTCTACGTTCGTGTAAAGAAGATTATAAAGGGTACAGTCGAAACGAAATTTTGTTCATTTTGTTACCGTCTCGTAAACTGTACGGACACAATTCAAACTCGTAAAACTCATCTCATGAACGTAACATACAGTTATCGAAATGCCACCTATAATTTTCTTAATGGTTTTCATATAAAAACAACAACCGGAAGAAAGCCCTGCAGGTAAGACGAAAAAATCGTACCTGCTAGACCTATTGCAGGATTTGTAATATTTGAAATCGACTTTTGTTATTCTTTCTAAACAGTTTATCTTTCTCGATTGTCTTTCTTGATACTACCTCACTTTTGATACTTACTTGCGCGTTCGACCCTATTGTTAATAACAGGAACGCTCACTGTTAGGCGACATGTTTTATTCGAGAGCGCACGTCATCGGAATCGGTGCACAAGTAACAATCAGATAGTACTTAACACGCGTTACGTAAGATGGACATAAGCTTCAGATGAACCAAATATACAACACCTATGAAGGTTTTTGAACCTTAACTTTGCCGAGACATCATATACATACCAACATATGAACAGAATCATAACCGCAATTCGAATTCAAAACTAGGACACAATATCCACAAAGGAAATATTTACACGGATACTCATGAAAAAGGACAGGGAAATAAGAAGCAGTAGAAACTCGCCCTTCCGGATCACCTGGTCAATACGTTAACATTACGGTATTATTTGTTCTTATTTTCTCAAACCTAGAGAAGAAAAGAAAATAATTCTTCGCCGTAAAGGATGCAGAAAATGCGTATCACCATGCAATATGCTACGTACCTTTGTCAGAATGTTGGGTGAATCTAATAATAGATTTATGATAGTAGCTGATGGCTCTTAACAGAACAGAGGCATTATATAACTTACCTGTGCATGCGAGCAAACGATATGATAATCACGTGGTCCGTGCTGATCGACGTAAAGTGGGACAACGCTTAAGTTTCTTTTCCAAGATGAAGGCCTTTTCAATACTCATGCAAAACCATCAGAAAATTTCAAGGTCTTTTCCATTATGGCGACAGGGCATCCTACATCGCAGGTTAGTTTTTCAACAATATATATGTGTATTACATTAATCTAATCAAATGCAACAATATTATGACATTCACGCCAGTTTAGATAACTTCAGTCAAATGGATTTTAAATTGTCGTCCATCGTACGTAAAATCAATGTTTGGTCAAATGTCACACATTTTGAAGAAAAGAAAAAAGAATAAACTTAATTTGCTAAGTCTTCGAAAATATTATTTGACGCTTGTGCCACACTAATTCCAGAAGAAAATACAATAATGGGAATATTGGTTTCTCTTTACTAAATTATTATCACCATTGCCGAAACCACAGGGAGAACCAGGGTTATGGAAAACATAAGTCGAGATTGACAAGTTTCACACAAAATAACAGTAACACATATCTACATATTTTACAATTTTCTTTGAACAAATACACACAAATATGTTATGTCATACCGTTGTATAGACAATCTGAGGTACATACACTCAAATCCAACTTAATATAAGTGTCATATCATACAAAAATACAAAATGAGATACACGCGCTCATATAAATAAACAGTTTCCATAGCAAAGAAAGTTATACAAATAAAATATTCATTAGAGCTCGAAAAGGCTAAAATAAATAATGATAGTAATGGTAACACATTACCACACTTTATGTTTGTAAACAGAGTGGTAATGCTCATTCAGCGTAGTTAGGTACATATATTACACCACCACAACGGTGTAGTGAGGGACTTTAAAACGGCCTCACTTTTACAGCATTCTGTTAACACACAGTATGTTACACTCCAGTGTTCTAGTGAGGTACGTGAAATTTTCTTGAGCGGTGTATGCTATGTCGACACACAGTGTGCAACACTTCACCATTAAAGTGGGGTACATAGTAAAAATATCATGTGACGTTGAGATTAGATTTGCTACGCAGAAACCGGTGTCACAAAGTGAGGTAGCTGAAAAATGTACCTTGCTTTATTTTATACATACATACATACATATATTGGTTAACAAGAGATATAGCAAAAGAGAAAAATAACATCTTTCATAACTAAAGTTTTATCACATGTATAGTGACATAATTACCGAAATTAACGCTTCCTTATGAATAATAAACCATAGCCTACATAACCAAACCATGAAATCATTTACTCTGGGCGTGATTTCATTTGTTTTGTCACGTGTATGTAAGACTATTTCCTCGTGAATCTCTACAAAATTCAATCTCTGGAAAAACTGCTATTTCTCAGTTTAAAAAAACACCGTTACTGTTATTCTCTTTGCTTCATTCTGAAAGAAGATCGTAGAAACTGAATTATACACATGAACTTATAGACAATTACAGATTGTCTTTTTAAATCAAATTGATGGCAGGATATTTGACAGCAATATACTAAGTGATTAGGTAATATAATAGCAACATTTGTACAAACTTGGGTATGCAGCAATTGAATTTTCAAATGAATATCTTATAAGAATTATAAGAAACATAACTGACTAAATAAAAGTGAAATTTATTTTTTTTGTGATGACCTCAATTCAAACATTATTTTCCCATAATTAGTATGTAAAATAAGTTAGAGTCTGAATGATCGAGTAAATATGCACCAAACATATAATCACTTATCTGATTTTGATGATAACACCATAACTGAACTTAAATTATATCAGTACAATTACACTTGTGCACAATGTACACATCAGTATGAATAAACAGCCATTTACAACACAATCTCGTTGTCTCTTTAGAATACAATTTATATCATAATACTATGTATTGCCTCTCTCTATTTTGAGGAAATTTGAATGTACAGTTTATGAGTCAGTTGATCATGTAGTCTCAACCTGGTTATGTTGCACATGTTTATATTGGTGGGTTCTCCATGACCTAATCCCTGTTATACTCACGAATCGCCAAGTCGTTGCCATGAATATCATTCTGACGCGAGCTTTAATATAGCGGCCATCGTTCCCGTTGATGATGATAATCTATCTTTGTGACATATTACAATTCACATTTCTCCGCTCCAAGCCAGTTTGTCGGCAATGTCAGAAAGTTGATAAAACAGTAAACTATGTGACATTCTCAATCAAGTGATCAACTTCAAATGTAATATCACAACTAAATATTATCATAAGTCACATGGTATTGTCTCCTACCTTTACTGTCTAATTCTACAGAGAATGATATATAAATCTGAAACTTCACTTAGAAGAAACGTATTGACAACTTCGGTTCTCGTTACTTTTCGTAGGCGTCTCAAAGATTTTAGTATTTTTTATATTTACCATTCAGAGACAGCTATAGCAACTTTTGGGTATGTACACTAGGAATCAGTAAAACAACTTAAACAAAGCATCAACACAGAAAAATATCAGACACATTCTGCATACCGATGCGAATCTAAAGAAATCTTGACAAGAGAGTGGATGAACAATCATCGATGACTGAAAGGAGCATTAAGACATTGTGAGGGACCGTTTCGAACAAAATTGTGCAGATATTAAAATTTAATCAACTAAAAGAGCCATGGATGCTAAAGCTTCTATCCGAAGAAGGTGTCTCTGTTACAGGCAAAGCGAACATGAAAATATGTCCAAAGTGTTATGTTAAATATTTAAAGAAAATACCTAGGCCAGACGACAATGATAATAAAAAATGACAACGATGTACGCGATGCAAAATGTAATTACGAAGGCGAAAAAACTGGTACAACTCTGTCAAATATTAAATATCTTAGTGCAGATGACCTTTTCTATGCCCCAGCCTCACATCGTAATGTAGTATATGTTGCAAATACATGGAAAACACAATAAAGATACCAAAAAGAGCAAGGCACCAGTTATTGTTTAATTATCATATCTGGTATTCTAAAAAGCTAGGGTATGCTCTAAGCATTTCGTTGGAAAGGATTGGAATACTGATGTCACAGTGACTGTTTCCAATAAGGATAAATTAACATGCCATATGAATGACAAATCTACATACATCAGCAATGATGTTTTGGGAATCAGTTGTGATTTGTGAGACGACATTACCTCTCTTTTATTTGAGCTCAAATGTATGGACAATGGCGATATGATAACATGGACAGAATGGAGCAGCGATCAGTTCGAGAAGATCCATGCTGCTATTGTCAATTGTCCAGATATATTCCATATACAAGGAATATCAACTCAGAATGCATTGTTTATGTTTTGGATAGAATTAAAAACAGATATTTCTTTTACCCAGATAACTTCTTTGTTTAAAATTCACAAGTGAACTATAAGCAGAATATTCCAAATCACGTGTAAGGTTCAGAAGTCAACATTTGTACCATCCCATCTGTGACCCTATCATTTGTCAAGGGAACAAGCTCGAAGCCACAACACAAACATTTTTTAGTAATAACGAGCCCATCATCCTTGATGGAGATAGCAGACAAGATATTAAAGTCTTTTTAAGGATGATAATTAAATAACAGTCGTCACATACAGCCGCTGTTTTATCTTATCTTGGTAAATATTTTTTAGAAAAATCAAGACGACATAAGTTCATGAATTTAATGTGTTAGATTCCACAATCACCAGAATTTCAAACGCAAATCATCAATGCCGAAAGGTGTATTGTACGTCATAATCACTAATGCACTTTACCTCTGGGTTTCGAGTTCGAGACCTAGTTGCCTAGTGGTTTTTTTCTCACGTTGTAGCATTGGCATTGAAATTACAAAAATGTTCATAATCTGGTGATACATTTGCACCAGCAACCTTAATGATTGAACTTGGTCTCTCCAATGTCCAGTTATATCCCTTGCCCATGTAATGGAAGCATAAACGAAGTAATGTGAAAATTGAATAATATTTAATTTTTGACCAATAAGAAGTCAGCATTTGGCAGTCATTTTGCTAACAATTTCAATTTTTGTGTGTCAAAATGATCGCTGCCCTTCCAGTTTCGTCCTCCTAGGAAGACGCTAAGTGATGTTACATCATGCAACTGTTTCGTCGTTCTAGAATGATGCTAAGTGATGTTACGTCATACAACTGTTTCGTCGTTCTAGAATGATGCTAAGTGATGTTACGTCATACAGCTATTTCGTCGTTCTATAAGGATACTAAGTGATGTTACGTCATACAACTGTTTCGTCGTTCTAGAATGATGCTAAGTGATGTTACATCATACAACTGTTTCATCGTTCTAGAATGATACTTAGTGATGTTACATCATACAGCTATTTCGTCGTGCTAAGATAATGCTAAGTGATGTTACAGCATACAGCTGTATAGTGATGTTAAGGAATTTAATGATGAAGGCAACCGAGGGAAAATCATCGAAAGAAAATTCAAAATTAAGATTAAGTAGGTTGTACCTAAACTTTCATGAACCTCACTGAAGATACCTCGGTGTTAACTTAATTATCACCATAGATATTCCCTGACCATTTTCTACTTTGTCTTATTGATAATATATATGTAATATACGACTTATGTTTTTCCAGACATGGAAACTACAACATGAAGCGATATTCGACAATGGTGGACAGTTATGACGACAAATTCGGAAGTGGCATGTATGCAGCCAACGGTTACTCACTGTATCTCAGCCAGTCCACCATTCTTAGATGCATTGGTAAAGAACATTATTTGTTAATACACCCAAGCAAACCAGAAACAGCCTGTGCTGAAATATATGATATATTTTTATTGTTGTTATTAATAAAAGATCACTCAAATTCCAGCTTTCGTTTAGAAAGTGAAAGCTAGATCGTTGGAAATCGATTTTAACGTACGCGCGTTCCTCGACTACTTTATGTAAAAAAAAATCCACATCGGCTTAACACAGAAAAATACAAGAAGAAAGTGACACAGTACTAATTCACTCCAAGTTTTTTAACCCCTTATGGATACTTATTTGGTGAGAAAGGAAAGTTCCATTTGATTAGGTGACTACGAAATGTACTAAAATACAAATAGTTCACATATCGTTTGCGTAATTTTTTCAGAAGAGATATGTAAACGACAAAGCGTACACATGCCGATCACGATAGCAGATTTCGGGACAGCGGATGGACGGACATCTCTCAACTTATTAAACAATGCCATTAGTAAGTTGATAAAGCACCATAATAAACAATGTATCAGACCCAGCCGTATTCTTAAATCACATCAAATATTGTATACAGGGTAAGAGTGAACTGTTTTATTGTCGATATTTTATTTTTTTATCATGTTATATTTTTTTTTCGGTGTTTTGTAAGCTATTTACTATTTATTTTTTCAGTGTATTATAAGCGTTTTACGCTGTAATTTATTTTTCCAGTGTTTTGTAATCTTTTAACCATTTTTTGGGTTATTGAAATGCCACCAATGCGTTAGATATTTGTGCATACATCATAATTGATGCCAACAAAGATAATAATTACGTCACTGAGACAATCGTAAAAAATCAACTAACATGAACGAAATGATATCTTTATATATCTCCCTACAACAGCCACAATACAGGAGATGTCCGGGGCGGCCAAACCCGTCATGATATACCACGAAGATCAAGCAACCAACGACTTCAACTTGCTATATCGGGTTATTGAAGGTAACCGATTTTCATTATCACTTTCGATACATGTTCGGGAGGAGACGTTGTTGGACAAGAATTTCAATAAAATGTTTTTTCCGTTATACATCTTTCACACTTATGAATCTTTCATAACTTGACAATGTCTTTATCTTATATCATAAAACACGGGAAGAAACGAAGATGTTTTACGGCCAAAGTTTAAGCTTCTTTTTTAATCTAATTTCATAGTTCAGTTTAATCACATTGTAGTATACACAATATAGATTCGAACAATAAAACAAACATATCTTCAGGCACAGAAGATGAAGGACAAGATAGACTCAAGCTATCCTCCAGTGTTTTCCAGGCTGCAATTGGTCGTTCAATGTACGAAGAATGTCTTCCAAACAATTCAGTAGATCTGGCATTTTCCTCCATTGTAGTGCATAACTTGTCACGAAGGTCAGTATAATTCAAATTTACCACTATCTGCTGTGTATTCAAAATTATATATGTGATGTACGCATTTTGGACATAACAAAAACGTTAACATAAGAGATGTTTATTATCTAGAAAACTTTTTATACGTTTTTCTTTTTTTAGTCAATCTGTTATATCAACTGAACTGCCGTATAGTAAACGTATTTCTAGAATATCACTATGTAGATTTCTTGTATCCTCTCACTTAAAACCACGTATTCGTTAGCTATCGACATATGTGATATGTAGACAACTTAACCTGGGCAAGCAGGGTTGTTACTACCGAGAAATGATAAAAATACATGAGGGGGAAAATTGTCCATTGTTGCTTATGTTGAGATTAAGGTAAACGACAGATAAAAAAAGAGTTTAGAAATATCAATGAACATGTATTATATATGAACATAGAAGGCGTTTCAAATGCTTTCCTACAGGTACCTGTTATAGTTATCTGCTCGATACATTAATCATCACAAGAAAAAAAAACAAGCTGTTGGAAGTTCTTGTCGCTATACTGTCAACCAATCAACCATCCACATGATTTCCTACTAAAGTACGAGGTACGAACCTTCAAATTATTTTGCATGTCCAGACCGTGCCGAATAGAGGGAGGAACATTGTCTTGTGATGGTAATGAGAAGGAGAAGGCGTTGATAAAAGAGCAATCTGCAAAGGACTGGGAAAGATTTGTCTACCTACGAGGAAAGGAGCTAAGTCCAGGTATCGACAATAAGGATTTGATAAAACTAACACAGAAATATCAAATGAGGACATATTTGTCAGTAATTCATTCTGTTTCTTGAGATACAAAAATAGAATTGTTGTTAAAAAGTTCTTAAGTAAGGGAGAAGTTTGCTCGAAACCTGAGACATACAACATAATAAGACTAGTTAGAAGGGAAGTAATGTTTTCTGTTTCCCGACCTTCCCTACCTTTTTGCTACCGATCATTTTGTTTTCAACATTTTACAATCTCCGGGTTGATTTTGCTAATGTTTGTTGGCGATCCCCGGAAGTAGTAGCGCCATGAGGCAAATTAACCTAGAGACACTTGAAACATACATATTTATACAAACCGATGTGAAACATTCTCTTGACACCTACGGAGGAAAATAGCGTTTGCCATGCCGTCATTGGTTTTGTTCCTGTAACGTACGCACTTACCTAAAAATATCATGAACTTAGATGAGATCGGGTGTTCCAGACAAGTGATATTTACCAATCTTCTATCTGTTTATTTTTGCATCCCCTCCCGTAAACAAGTTGAAACTCAGCATTTGACAGAAATGTTTTAAAATCCCTCCCTTCCTACCGACCGACCGACACTAATTTATTTTCAGAAACAGGAAACGCAGATTTTCCCCTTATAACACGTGGTACTGTTTGAAAGCAGCCTCGTTTTTTTATGATGCGCAAAGCCTATAACCATGTCATATGAAGAGAGTGGTTGTCAATTTTAATATTGTTGAAGAGTCCCATATCTTAACTGTTACATTATTACACAGGCGGTTATCTGGTGGTACTGAACTGTGGTGTTGATAAGACAGGTAAAAATTTACATCCAATATCGGGTGGAATGCCTCGACTAGGGAAGCTGCTCAATACCATGCTTCAGGATGGATTGATAACACAGGTGAGAAGGATGTCATACTGATAACTCTCATCATAACACAGGTAAGTAGGTACAAGTATATCATTATAAATATGACAATGTAACACAGGTGTGAAGGATGTCATACTGATATCTAGGACATCATAAGACATGTCAGTAGGTATGTCATATAAGTAAGAAAATGTAAAACGGTTGAGAAGCATTCTTGCTCACAATAACATATACAATTTGAGTATTCAGTTGTGCTTTCACAGGATCAATTCTGATACGTAATGCAGGAGCATACCAGGAACATCAACGTCTCAGTATTTTTTTGTGTAGTGTTTGATTATGAGTTATAAAGATGTTTGTGTCCAGTACGTAACTTGAGAGCTGACGCTAGAGTCTGATTCCTAGTGTTGTAATTTGAGAGCTGACAATAGAGTCTGATTCCTAGTGTTAGATCATGTGCTATATATAGTCCTTTGTTTTTTGTTCAGTGTGTGACTTAAGAGCTGACGTTAGAGTCTTATTCCTTGTGTTATATCATGAGGTAAATATTAAAGTTTCTTGTTTAGTCTTAATGTTAGATGCTGATCTGAACAAGAGGCCCACTGAGCCTGCTCCGCTCACGAAGAATTTAATGATAATAAAAAATAGAATCGAAAGGCGATATATTCAATTAATTTTAACCAATTTCCACAACAAGCAGCTTCGGGCAAGGTTATCTAAAATTGACCCCAGTGACTTTGAATATGGATCAAATTCATGCCTTTGTTTGGCTTCATCCTATCAACCTACAAACCAAATACCATGCTTCTAGGGACTTTGGTAGATGAGACGCAGTCATTTAAATTCATAAAATTTGGCCCTTGTGACTTTAAAAGTGTGCCCATCGGGTCAGGTGAGCTAAACCTTTTTCATGTCCAGTTGTTCAGGATTTGAGAGCTGACACTAATGTTAGCTGATGAGGTGAGCTGCTACACTGGTGTCCAATTCCTAATGTTGGATGAATAGGTAAACCAGAGGTCCTGGGGTTTTAAGTCATAAACGCACAACTTTTCATTTCTTTAGAAGCAAGATATTGAGGTATGGGATGGTTTAAATTGATATAATCCAAATGATATTGTGTTTATCTCCTCATGCTCAAAAAGATTATAGTTATTCAGTGCAAAGCAATGATATAAAAAATTATATAAAAATGAAAAATCTCCTTGGGGTTAGATTTTCTCCTTTTTTCTGGCACAAGGGGACCAAAAAATTGTTCTTTATACAAAATGATTCTCTTCATCCAAACATATTTCAGACCAATTTTGGACAATATCCTGAAAATCGAGAAATTGACAGATTTTCCCTGTAGAACCATATCCCTCTAACCCCAGAGGACCGAAACCCACCAGTTATAAAAAACTGATTTCCCTTTACTAAAGCAAGCTTAAGACCGACCATTTTTTTTGTAATATCCTGCAATTCTTGAAGAACACGATTGATTTTAAATAAATTGATCGATTTTCCCTATCCCCTTTAGTCTTAGGGGGCTGAATTCTACTGTTTATGCGAAACTGATTTTCCTTCACCCAAGGATGTTTCAGACCAAAATTGATTTAAATTGTATCAGTTCTTCATGAATAGCTGGTGTCCGATGCCTAATGTTAGATTACGAATTGCATGTTTATGTTTCATGTTCAGTGGTGTTGGACTGAGAGTTGACACTAGTGTCCAATTCCGTTACAGGAAGAATTCCTTGATGCTAACTTTGATGTGGATATATACAGGACAGAGGAAGACCACAGCCGTCCGTTTACACATGGTGGCATGGCGAAGCAATTAGGTTTAGAGCTGGTATCCGTTCGTTCATTCATCAATACATTGCAACATCCTACATTCGATATTGTAGATAAAGGTACTCTCATTTCAGTAATAATTACCATAACTTTAATATGCAAATACAGCACCTACACCCATCTTTGTATCCCAACAACAAAAGATTAAAAAAAACTTCCTCTTACCTTTATGGCTGCCGACGAGTGCGGAGGTGTCTGAGCTAAGTGCTTTTCTTACTCCTTCTCTTCGCACTGCCATTGTCATTTGAGTATATCGTTACTAAATTAGTAGCATATAAACCCATCTCCCAACTTATACTAAAAGGATAAAGAAAACACCTAAGTACATCATGAAAATTTGTTTTACAATAAAAAAAACATCTAATTAATAACATTAACTTTATATGAGGGAAAGTTGAAAAGTAAACTATTGTGATGTATTTTATCATATATACATGATCAAATCAAGTTAGAATTAGCATTTTCATTTTCACCCAGGATATCGTAGTATTAAAAGGGAGGGATAACAGACCAGACGTTCATAAGGACCGTAAATTAGATTCCCCTAATATCAACATGTGTTATTAGTGCTAAGACTAGCAGCAAGACTTTTGGATTTATATGTCGATGTTTGGGATAGAATATCTATACATTCTTACCTTAATTCATATTCCCTACAGGTTCAAATCCAGTTGTCTTCAGAACACAATCATTAAAAGAAGCAGACAAAAATCATAAACATATCAATATAAAATCACCTGTCTTTTGTTATAGATGCAGCTGCAAAAGCAGAGTATGCCGAGAGAGTGGTGGCAGGTATAAAGCCGTGGTTCTATCACGTGATCTACAACGGGCTGTCTGAAAAGAGACCACATGAAGAGAGAAAACAGTTGACTGATCTCTACTTCGACAGAATGAGGGCATTTGCATATGACAACCATGCTGGTGGGACAGAAATACCATTGGTGGAAACAGTGGTCAGGAAAAGGCTTTAACATATAAATCAGGGAACTTGGTATACGATGCCTATACCAATATTATTACTAAAATCATCATAACTCAATAGTTAGTTACATATTCTGATTATCTAACTAAAACAAGTATCAACATAATAAGCAAGAAAGCCAACTGCACCCTAGGCTTACTGATGAGGCACTTGAAGATCTCAAGACTATAGCACATACCACCCTACTGAGGCCAAACCTAGAGTAATATGATTCAGTAAGATATTTTCATGTGGAAGTTGTAGCAGAGCCAAAGATTAAAGATACAGCTAACATTCCTGATCAAGTAAACAATCTGAAGGACATTTGAGCAAATAACTTCTTCACTCAACATTCCTCCTCCAGCAGTACTTTCTCAATGCATAGGCCCATGTTTAGATATAGTTTCTTTCCTTCATTCATTCCTATTTGGAATTTCCTCCCAACATCTCTTGCTGCGGCCCCTAGCTTGGTATGTTTTTACCCCTTAGCTTCCAGGAATTTTTAATAAAACTGAAGAAAAATTTTGCCTTTTTTCCCCCAATAATGATGTACCATAACAAACAGAAGTTTGACTTTTCGATCAATTAATGAATGAATGAATGAATAATTGATAATGGAAATGAAGACAAAAATATTTCCAAACTTAATAGCATTTTGAACTTCTGGAGTAGGAACCTACGGATATTTGTATGAGACAAATTTACTCATTCATGGTTGTTGTCATGGTTACAAGCTCGTTTTTCAAATATAACATGTTAAAATTAGCATTTTTTTCTGTCTGCCAAAATTTCATTACATAAGAAAAGGTTTGCATAACAAAATTAGCAGTTTAGTCAACCACCAGAATATACAATAGGAATCTGAAAAAGCTTCTTTGTTAAAATTTCATGGCTAATTAATTTCTTCTTGCATTTTAAAGTTGTCATAGCATCCAATTTTTTAAAGCGTTAATTTCTGCTTAGAACAATTTATCTCATGAATCATTGAATGAAAAGTTATTTCAAACACATTTTGTAAATTCCGATCTATTGAAAAAGTGTTCTAAATGTAATCACACACATTATTGGATATATATTTTCAGATGTCAGGGTAGATAACACAGTCTGAAAAAATAATTTTCAGAATTTTGGAATTAAGTCGTTTCTTCTAGTTTTTAATTGTTTCTCTTGTAATGATGATTGCTGCACTTGTATTTTTCAAATAATGATAAAGACAGTGATCATATTGTTCATCAGATAGACATAAACTACGTGTAGTAGAAATATGAAATCAATTTTTCAATATGTTTATTATTTATGACCAATAAGTTCAAACATGGTTGGTTATTTGAATTTCTAGATATTTCCACTTGTAGGAAATCATCTTTTTGTGTAAATACAAAATAAGGTATATAGGATGATGGAAGACATTGGAAAAAAGATAAACATATTACTTAAAATTAGACACAACAATACTCAAAATGTGCTTATTGTAGTAAGTATCAAAATGGAAACATATATCTGTACATTTCTATCAAAACATTTTGTCTATCCAAAACTAGTTACTTGTACCAAACTGAAGCATTTTAATTGTAGCACTTACAAGTTACAAGCAACAACACATAATTTAGATGAAATCATTTTAATTTTGCATAATCATCCATACAAATAAATGGTGAGGGGAAAGATAAGTGAAAACTGATGGCACTATCACACAGTCCTGTGTTTATAGCTGAAATTAGCAATTAGAAAAAAGAAGTTAATTAAAGCATCTTTTGTGTATACTTATGAGCATTTCAATGAAAACTTCCTCATTAAATAGTTAAAGGTTTGAATAAAATAGCAATGCAATGTTCATGTCACCAGCTGTATCATATCAGTAATACATGTGTACCAACAAATCTACTGACAGAATCTGTTTAGGATTATTGATAAAATCTTCAAAGGTGTTAATAGTCAGTTCCTCAATGGACAGCAATTCAGACAATTCAAATTTTACATGTATACATTATACAAAACAAAAGTTTGCAGAGGTTCAAGCAAGTAAGGGTTGAGAATATCACTATTGTAATACTACATTAATTAAACTACTTTCCTAATTATAGAGGTTTCCAGATTATAGGGGTTGGTGGATCATGACATTCAAAATGAAATATTTAAGGCCCACAGCTTCAAACTTCAAATAGTGTAAAACATACAATATAACATTACTTTTCAATTAACATGTTACTTCAAATATATGTTTTCTGGTTGGCGCCAAGGTAGCTGCATTTGTGAGGTGCCATTTTTACATTACTTCTTAAATCTATTCTGTCTGTTCTTTACTTTTCAAACTCTTTCTTGCTTAGTCCAGTCCCAATGCGCAACGCATTGTAGCTATCAAGTTTGACATCTTAAGGACGTAGAACTGAATCATATCTAAAATTACCAAGATTTAAAAGCACATACACATTTTACTAGACAACTTCCCACAATTATGGAATCCAACCAAATGTACATGGAGAATGAAATCCAAGCAACAGTGAACGGAGAATAAAATCCAAGCAGCTGTGCATGGAGAATAAAATCCATGCAAATGTGCATAAAATCCAAGTAACTTTGTGTGTACAATATGTCATTTACTCGTAAGCAAAGCCTCTTGGAACACCTATTATGAACTGTATATCTGTAATATCATTTTAAGGTATATCATAATGTACCAGAAATAAAATATATTTTAAGTTGAAAATAGAGAATTGTTTAATTTCTTTAGATCTTTTCCTCTTTTGAATTAATTAAATATAAGACTCATTATTGCCGTGGAATGGTCCGATCGATAGCTAGATTCAGTATTGGCCCTAATCATAACCGATGGTAAGTTTTCTGACACATGAAAAATGTTTTGTCTAACTTGTTTCCTAGTACTGGGTTTTCTCCTTGAGCATCTACTGGTATCTGGGTGTTGCTCCGTATATATTTATATATCAAATCTAGCTCATGTAATATTTCTCTAAATCTGTCTATTGATTTGCTATTATTATATGTAGATTATAATCATAGTCTAATTTTGCATCTAGAACTAGATCAAAGTCAACGCAACTTACTGTAAGTAACTAGGACAAAAAATGGATAAAAGAAAGATTTACACGGAAATTTCTGAAGAAGTACAAGGAGAATAAGACCAAGTGTTCCGGAATAGTAAGCGTCTTCTGCTGCGCCGACGAAAGTCCTCTCATAGCAACATGTTGTAATACAATGCAATATACATGTTATTTTTTTTCATTTGTACTGACTGATAAGGCACGTTTTTACTTAGGTCATCTCGTCATCTTCTACATTCGTGTAACGACGATTATAAAGGGTACAGTCGAAACGAAATTTTGTTGATTTTGTTACCATCTCGTAAACTGTTCGGACACAATTCAAACTGGTAAACTCATCTCATGAACGTAACATACAGTTATCGAAACGCCACCTATAAGTTTCTTAATGGTTTTTCATATAAAAACAACAACCGGAAGACAGCCCTGCAGGTAAGACGAAAAAATCGTACCTGCTAGACCTATTGCAGGATTTGTAAGATTTGAAATCGACTTTTGTTATTCTTTCTAAACAGTTCATCTTTCTCGATTGTCTTTCTTGACACTACCTCACTTTTGATACTTACTGGCGCGTTCGACCCTACGAAGGTTTTTGAACCTTAACTTTGCCGAGACATCATATACATACCAACATATGAACAGAATCATAACCGCAATTCGAATTCAAAACTAGGACACAATATTCACAAAGGAAAGATTTACACGGATACTCATGAAAAAGGACAGGGAAATAAGAAGCTGTAGAAACTCACCCTTCCGAATCATCTGGTCGATATGTTAACATTACGGTATTATTTGTTCTTATTTTCTCATACCTAGAGAAGAAAAGAAAAGAATTCTTTGTCGTAAAGGATGCAGAAAATGCGTATCACCATGCAATTTGTTGCATACCTTTGTCAGAATGTTGAATGAATCTAATAATAGATTTGTGATAGTAGCTGATGGTTCTTAACAGAACAGAGGTGTGATATGGCTACCTGTTGATAAGAGCAAACGATATGATTATCACTGGTCTTTACTGATAACGTGGGGTCAACGCTTTGGTTAGTTTTTTCAAGATGAAGGTCTATCCAACCCTCATGCAAAACTATCAGAAAATTTGCAGGTCTTTTCCATTATGACGACAAGGCATCCTACATTGCAGGTATGTGTTACATCTATTATATTAATTAGATTCAATGGTAATATGGCATTCATATCATTTTAGATAACTTCCATCAAATGTTAATTGGGCTATAAATCGTCGTTCATCGTACGTTAACTCAATATTTGCTAAAATGGCACATTTTGGAATTAAATCACCTCAATATAGAAGCAATACGAGTCTTGTGTCACACTAAATCCACAATACTTTTTCTGAGAACCATTGGCAATGGATAACATAATTCGAGTTTGGAAACAAGTTTTGATTAATGATGAGACAAAAACCTTCCAAGATGAAGTAAAAGAATATTCTTTGCAAAGCTTGATGTGCACATAGGCCAAAGTGTTGTTTTTAACAGAAAATGATATTAACATACATATACATTTTGTGTTACAAATATATATCATTAGATGCATACATACATACATACATACATACATACATACATACATACATACATACATAAATTAGTTAAGAAGAGATTGCGCAAAGGAGAAAAATAACACCTTTCATAAATAAGGTCCGAAATCATTAACGCTTCCTTATGAAAAATAAACTAAAGAGTACATAACAAAACCATAAAATATTTTACTCTGGGCGTGATTTCAATTATTGTGTCACGTAATAACAACATTTGTACAAACTTGGGTTTGCAGTAATTGCATTTTCAAACGTTATATCTTTTAAGCATTTCCGAAACATGATTGACTGACTCAATTCAAACATTATTTTCCCACAATCAGTATGTGAAATAAGTTAGAGTCTGAATGATCGAGTAAATATGCACCAAACATATAATCACTTATCTGATTTTGATGATAACACCATAACTGAACTTGAATTATATCAGTACAATTACACTTGTGCACAATGTACACATCAGTATGAATAAACAGCCATTTACAACACAATCCTGTTGTTTCTTTAGAATACAATTTATATCATAATACTATGTAGTGCCTCTCTCTATTTTGAGGAAATTTGAT